TTGAGGAAATAGGTATTTGTTCCAGGAAAACAAAGTGTTAGACTAGGTAACATCTTAAGTTATCTTCCTTGACACCTCAGAAATACTCTTACTTTTGCCCTACAAGATATAAATATCAATAACTAAACCTGAATTTTTCCATTCACTATTGTGATGTTCTTAATTAGTAGCAATTGCATTTTTAAAACAAATTGGGCATTAGCTTGGTATCAGTTCCTTTCATATTTCATTTTTAAATAATTCAAATTCTACATAAATGAATTCAAGTACCCATTTGGTGCTTGAACCTTCTTGTCAAAGCAAATTTTTTAAAAAAGGGGGGATGGAGATAAAAAATGGGTGTGGCTTAGAGACAGCTTTAAGCAGGATTTAAAAATTTAGCTTGAAAGCTTTTAAAGCTTAATTATACAGGGAGGTGGCAGTGTTTTTATTTGCTGTTTACCTTTGATCTAGTACCTATTTTGGGGAAAGTTGGACATGCTTTTGTGAAAATGTTTATGGGTTCTTCATTTGAGGTCAAGATTCTTGTTTGAAGTTGCTTTGTAATTCAGAGCTTTTTCTCTTTGTAAGTTAATATTTGACTTTTGCTGCCAGATTAATAGCAAGTTAGCCAGGATTTAGGTGACTACTTTTTAATGTGTAAGTGATATACTGAATTTTAGAAGTAGTTTTATTGTTTTGGGACAAATTAGACATGTTAAGTATTTAAAAATCTCAATAACACCAACTCATAAGGATAAGAAAGTAAAAATATGCCTATATCTCACTCAATGTTAACATTTTTGTTAAATTGTATTTTACTTTGTGAAACGGAGGTGTGTGTATACACATTTAATTTTCTATAAATTGGTTCTTATTATGCATGTTGGTTTTTTATTCAACAATATATTTATTGATATAAAATTATGGCCATAATATATTTTTGGAAATAGCATAGCAAACTTGAAGGAGATCGACATTAAAAATTTTAATACTTTTTGTCAAATTACCATTCAGTAAAGTTGTACCTAATTTATAATCTCATCAATGGTACGTGAATGTGTTTATTTTTCAGACTTTTTTTTTCACCAATACTAGTTTTTGACCAGTTTAAAAATATTTTGCCAATATTGTAGGTGAAAATATTTTATTTATGTTTCTTTAATTATTAGGGAGAGTGTACATATTTTATATTATTGGACATTTGTATTTCATTTGTACATTTCCTCTTTATATTCTTTGTACATTTTTATATTGAAGTGTTTGTAGCAATGCATTTTTTTATTTAGTAAGCTAAGGATGTGCAAAAGTTTGATGATCAAATAATCAGAAGCATGTCATCACCATGGTCAGATGTTGTAGTCTGTGGCCCAAGTTGAATTATTGATTGAAAAATCCTTGAAGGGAAAGGACATGGTTATTCATTTGTTTTTTTAAATTTTTAAATTGAGTTATAATTGACGTATAAATTGTATTAATTTTAGACACACAAAATTATTTTATTATTATTTTTTAAAATATAGTTTTTATTTTCGGTAGAATTACAGATATGTCCCATTCCCCCCCCCCCCCCTTTACCTCCCTCCTCCTAGCTCCTCCCCACCACCCAGGTCTTTACTACCCTATTGCCTGTGTCCGTGGGCTATGCATATCTAGATATATATAAAAGGCGAAGCGACTGTCCGACCCAGCTGACTGGCCGACTGGCTGGTACATATGACGTGAACTGACCACCAGGGGGAAGATGCTCAACACAGGAGCTGCCAAGCTGTGGTGACTTGGCAGTGGTGGTTCTTGGGTGACACACCCCAGAACCAGAGAGGAGGGAGCCCGATTCCTTGAGGGGCCACGCGATTCTGCCTTCAGCTGTGGGTTATGTTATTGCTGGGACACTGTTGGCCCCGAATCTGGTTTACTGCTGAGCTGCAGTGACTGCAGACACCCTTCGAGCCATGGCTCTGCCCCAGGTGCAGCAGGCGGGGAGGGACCACAGGAGGTTGGCTCCAGGCATGTCTGGCCCGACACACACAGTCCTGCCCCGCCGGCCACCTTGTAATTAATTTCCTTTCAATGTGCATGAATCCATGCACTGGGCCACTAATAAGTATATAAATTCTTTGGTTTATCTCTTCTTGTCCACCCAACCCCACATCAAGATATGTCAGTCTGTTCCTTGCCTCCCTGCTTTGGGTCTTATTTTGTTGGTCAATTCATTTTGTTCATTAGATTCCACAAATAAGTGAGATCTTGTGATATTTGTCTTTCTCAGATTGGCTTATGTTACTTAGCATAATATTTTTCAGCATTTATTTGCCTGGCTGGCATGGCTCAGAGATTGAGCGTTGACCTGTGAGCCAGGAGGTCACGGTTTGATTCCTGATCGGCATATATGCCTGGGTTGTGGGCTCGATTCCCAGGATGCAGCTGATCAGTGATTCTATCATTGATGTTTCTATAAAGGAGGGATCTCTTACCCTTTGAGACAGCATGGATTTTATTTATTTTAAAAAACATTTTGTGTTCTTACTGTTCAGTGCAATCTCTAATTACTTGCTGAATGAATGAATGAGCAAAGAGAGGAATGGAACAATCTATGGTCATTGAGTGTTCTGAGGATTCATTTTACTAAACAGATTGTGATTTTCTAGAAGAGATGCTGATTTGCTTTGGCATTTTCTTCCTGTCTTCTTACTTTTGTGCTGCCTTCAGGACCAAAGTGGCTACTTTTATTTTAGAAATATCTTCTTCAGCCTAAACTTTTTTAGTTCTCAAAGAAGTAGCTTGCTTCAAGTTGTGTGTTAACTCCTGTGAGTTGATTCTTACCTCTTTAGGCATCATAATATGTTGCTTGTTTATTTCTAAATTCTCTGCAGGAGGAAGTATGTATTAAATTATTTTTCTCTTTGTTTTAATAATGAACTCTGATTTTTAGAAACTTATACTTTTTTAATTGTTTGCTACAAAATTCACCAATAGCATATATCATTTGATAATGAAATACAGAGTTGTTTTTATCATATGTAGCAAGACTGCATTGATATGACAAATGAGGTTTGTTGACTTCATATTAATGCATATTAAAATATTATTTTCCCTGAATGTCTGGAATTTAACTTGTTCCAAATTTAAAATATTTTCAGAGTTAGAGATCTTAACTTAAAGACTACAATTATTGAAAAAAAAAAGAGCTATACTTAGCCACAATATTTCTGGATGCATTTTATTTTATCCCCCAACATTTAAATGCAAATGAAAGAATGAGATGTATTGTGTATGTTGCATAATTTCAATTCATGCTTTAAAAAAGATTTGCTAGAAGGACAAGGTGTGATTATTTAAAAAACTGTACAAGTACTTAAAGACCCTTTTGGATTCTTCCAGGGTTTAGGCTTTAGATATACATTTTGCTATAGATTTATTTTGTGGATAACTTCAAAGCTATAGTTTATAATTCAGGGTAGGATAAAGTATGAGAAAAGCTTATAACAGAACCAGTATTCTTTGCTGGCTTTGAATGGTACACAGAGTGTGTCCACATAGGGTTGTGTGAGGTCCCAGATAAAATTGCTCTCCTGGTTCCTAAGACATCAGAAAGTCATGAGGAGAAGGGTGTAATACCAAAATAAATGAGAGAGCTACCTTCCCTTGGCCAGACTCTCTTGGACTTATTGCATCTATGGAAGTAGGCATTACAGAGTTGCTGCAAACTGAATTGGGGAAGGCCCAGGCACTATTCCCTAAAAAGAGAAGGAGGTCTGGGTGAAGAAAACTAATGGGTATACTAGCCATTGATACTTAAAGCTGTCCAAATGCCCAGGACAGATTCATTATCTGTTAATCCTGACTTGAAAATACAATAAATTATCTGGGTCACTTAGGCAAAAGCATGTTATAGGAGCTGGGGAAGGGCTGAGTTAGATATTTATTTTGTATCTCAACTTAATTCAGGTGCCAATACCCAATTTATTATGGCCATTTGTGCTATAAGTGCAACATTGGGAGCAGTGATTCCTACAAATGCTGTTGATCAAGATTCTTTTTTTTTTTTTCAGAATGAATTTTTAAAAAAATCTAGTTAGCTAAGTAGGTTAACTAACCTAGATGTTTACTGGCCATATTTTTTTTAAAAAAGCGTTTTGAATCAAACCAATCCCTAGAGTCTAGAAAAGTTTCTGACCTAAATTAGGAACCTAAGCTCCATTATTATTTTCAGTTGAACACTACTTATAGCATCCTCACATTTGGGAAAGAATACGGCCTTTGCAACAAAGTTTCTTTGTTTTCATGAAACTAAAAATGTGCTGTATTTAGACCAAACAATAAAAATAAACTACCAAACTACCTTCTAATGCATGGGGGTTCTGGAGAGAGGAAACCATAGATATTTAGAGGCATAAAGTGACTCATTGTGCTAGTTAAACTTTTTACAAGGCTAGCTCTGTGTGTTTGAGTTGCATCTGTTACCTCTTCGGCCAGAACTAAAGTGTGTGCAAGCAAAAGAATTTTGAATTGAATCGTGGCTCATACAGAATGCATTGTGTATAACCTAAGAGTCTAAATGGGTTCCACTCTTTATGTAGAACAAAAACGGCATCCTTTCATGTTTATTCTACCTATAAGGTATTCTTGTTGAACACATCCAAGATATTTTCTGTGAAGCTAATTCATTTTAACTTGCAGACATAAATGAAACATGTTTTTCAAATGTAACTTGTAAGCCTTTATTTCTTTTTATAAAAATATTTCCTTTTGTATTTACTTACACTTTTAAACACAAAGTTTATTACTAACATTATATAAAAAGCTATAATGGATGGAGATTTTGCATTCTTAGCAATAGAATAATGAAATAATTGTTTCTTTTGTTATTGTCATCTTAGAAAAAGTTGTAAGAGTAGATGGGAACAAATGCCTGACTTAAAAATAGTGTGATTTGTAGTCAAATGTATACTTTTTTAAATAAAGCATAAAAAGGCAACTTACCTAATTTTTTAAATTTCATTTTCTCTCTAAATTTTCAGGTCACTTTCATGAATTCAAAGGCAATTTACCAGTGATTTTGGGTGCTGGGGCTGATTTTTTTTGGCGTAATTGTAAGTATTGGTTTATTTATTACTCTTCTCATTGTGTCATGGAAGTAATAGTTTGTAAACAAGTTCTTAAGTCCTCTAGCATGTGAATTTTTATTAGTTTTTTAAGTGTTAATAATTTTTTTGTGTTTTCTTAAGAGGAGTATAGAAAAAAATATTAGGGCCCATTACAATACGCTGAAAGAATAGATACCTTACTTTTTGAGATGAGGCTCAACTGTAGGAATGATTTACCTTACAGGGGCTTGTCTAGATACACATGGATAGTTTACCCTGGTAAATTCTTAGTCTTCTGATTGTCTGGACTTGAAAAGTGCTGTGTGCTTGTGCTCACAGAAAAGAGGTGAGATGATACAGAGTTCAAAGAGCTGCCAGTATAGGAGATCATGTACTAAGGAACCAAAGACTTATTTAGTGAATGTATAATATATATCAAATTGGGGGCCTTCCTTGCTTTCTTCACCATCTCTCAAAACAATATTATATTTTAATGGTATTTTGGAGAACAAAGATACTTTTTCTCAGGAAAGAAGGTAAATTTCAAGAAAAAATTTGAATGAACCTGAATGATCAATTAAAGTACTTTAAATTGATATATACTTATTAATATAGAAGTACTTTAGAATACGTGGCAGGTATTAAAGATGTCTGTTAAAAAACAGACTATTTGAGTAGAATCTAAAATACATTTATATGTGTACTATGTTGTAACCCACGGGCATCTCAAGGGCTGCTTTACATTTGATAACAACAAAGACATAGAAACTTTTCCTCCGTTAGTGTTCTCTGGTCAAGAACTTTAGAGAATATACTTCTAGGAAAGTATTTTTTAAAAAAGTAACAGTATCAATTAGAGTTTAAGTTATTCAGTATTTAAGCAGAAAGCAGCAAACATTTATTTAAAACCATCCTGACGGCTGGAGATTAGAAATGGAGGTGGAGTAAGTGGATGATGCAAGGACATGCTCCCAGGACCAAACTGGAATTACAACTAAAATAAAAACAGCTTTACCTTTCTCTTAGTAGTACCATTGATTGGAGCTAGCATTTAGAATGAACCTCAGAAAGAAGACACAAATGTTTAATATAGTTTAATACATTTTGTGTGTTCTTCATGTTTTAAGAATAATATGTTATTTTTATGAAACTATCAATTCACATTTTATTTTGAAACTAGTCTTATGTAAAACACAAAATATTAAACTACGTGGTTCATTTGCATTACATATAAGCTTTTAATTTGTGCAAGGTATCATAGTGAGGATTAGGAGGCAAAGAAGACGGGGAAAGAAATGTAAACTATTTTCAAGGGGTTCTGGAGAAAAAGGATGATTCCAAGGGGCTGAGCTGATCTTACTAGAAATCTGAATAAAAGGAAATAATTTCGAGTTTTTCTAATCTTATCTTAGTTGCTTTGTCTTTTCTTTTACCTCCTTTCTCTCTTCTGTCATATTATTCAATCATTTCCTTTTGTAAGTTTTTAAGATGATTAAAATTTAAAAATGGCAAATACAAGATAATTTACTGGCATTTCAACTAAGATCGCCTTTATTGAAATATTCTCTACAGTTGTCATCACCTGAAGGCTCTCTGTTTCCTAAATTCTTTACTCCCCCCTCTCCCATCATACACCGACTAACTCTGAATGGAGGTGATCCAAATAGTTGAGATTTTTCTTGTGATTTAACAAAGAGATGCTAAAAATAGAAGATGGGTCTCTGTGGGTATAGTTTTCATATGGTTATTTCTGGAGTTCAACTTCAGATTTTGTCTTGATTACTTAGACAAAAGTAATGCTAATCATACAGGCCTTAAAGTAATTGTTTTCCAGTCTTGAGAATTTCCATATGCTAGATTAGGGCCTGGGCTTTGTTGTTCCTTTGGTCAGTGGTCTCAGGCTTTGTTAGGGCCCTCTTCTGACTGTGGAACCTTCTCATTAAAGAAATGTAGCAAGATACTATGACTAAGATAAGTCAGATAAAATTAACATGGGAATGCTTGAGTTCCCATTTCTTTCAATTATTGTGGAAACTGTCTACCACTTCCACTGAATGATGAGATAGCTAAAACAATAAAAATATTTATCTATTTTTGGCTTAAGAAAAAGCAAATGGGATCAATGACAATGGCTTCTTTTAGGAACTTTAATTTCCATGTCCTGGAACTGCTTATTTGCTACATGATCTAAGGCAGAAAGTTATACCTCATGGCCATGAGAAGGTTTCTTAGTAATGTGTGCAGAAGCCGGTCTGTGAGATAAGGAAGGTGGGATATTGTTTTGCACATCCATAATGAATGTGCCACACCAAGGGTGTGTGAGAACCGATTGGAATCTTACCTACTCACATCTACTACCTAGGTCAGAAGAGGAAAACACTGTGAACAAAAGTGGTTATCTTTTCAGAAGCTGAAAGCATCTTATTATAGGTTTTTATCCCCCTCTTTAAAAACTAAAACTACCCTTTTCTTTTCCCAAAGTAGGCATTGTGTAATAGGACCTTGTTTTCCATGTTAATGTCCCACATTTAGTTTTTTATGTCTAATTAAAAAATACTTATGGAATTCTGACCATTTAATTTACCAGAGCAATAAATGATTGATTAAAAACAAAACAAAACAAAACAGAAATAGATAATTATATAACCTGCTTTTTCAGGTTACCCAACCCTTTTTAGTAATTTGAAAATGAATTCCCTTTTATAAAATGCTATCTCTGTTCATGGTCTCTACTAGCAACCTTTTCCCTGAAAAAGGAACAAAAAATATTTTATTGTCTGGTACAAAAAGTGATTATCGCTTAGCCCATGCTTCAGGAAATAATAACAATATCTTGATTTGGTATGACACTTGTTTTTGCAGATATTAAATTGGCTTAATTTTGTAAAAACTCTGCGAGGTGAGTAGGAATTATTTTCATTTTTGCAGGACTTAACCTTTTAGTGCTTTTAGTGCTATATCAGGTTGTCCTTTCTCAGAGAGTATTTTAACTCTTTCTTTTGTTGTTTTTGATCACTATCTCAGTCTCCATTTGATTGCTATAGAAGTATTTTCGGAAAGTTGAGGTGGAATAAGGAAGTCAAGGAGGAGATTGTAGAGAGCTTTCTGCCACTTCACTTTCCTCTGTTTCTGGATCATTTGCTCCTCCCTGACATTGGCCTAACCCCCTATTCCAAAACTGTCACAGGTTGTGCTTCAGCTGAAATTTTTGAAGTGCATGAATTTTTAGGAAATTAGCAACAACAACAAAAAAATCACGAATTCATCTTTATTGTGGTATTTTTAAATGGACAGAAATCTATTTCAAACTGAGCATAGCCCAGTCCAAAGCTCCCTCAGTGAAAACATCTGTGATTTTAAGGACAAGTAGGTCTAAGTGCATTATCTTTAAAAAATATTATTCCAGGCTAATCTTGACATAGAGCAGGTAAATAAAAAAGATGAGCTGTGAAAATCCACAAATAGGGCTTGAATGCCATTTTCCATGACAACGGGCGCTGCCCCATGAAAGCATTAATGCTGGGAATGTAAGGAATTTAAAATTGTGCCTTCTCAGTTTTACAGTTGTGTGCTCATGTTAATTAGAGATATACTGACATTTGAAGTATCTACATTGATACACACAGCTACCATACATTTGTGAACTGTGGCTAGAAATCTACTTTAATTGAAAGCAGTTTGCTAATCTGAATGTGTATATCCATTATATTTTAAGCTTTTTAAAGTTTTATATTCTAGTGCCTTAGACACTTGTTCTTTCTGCTTGCTTCATTTTCTGCTTCTAATTTATACCTGAAAGTGTAGCCTGGCCTATTTTTAATCTCTTAGTCGTGTTTTGGAGCAATATGGATGGAATTTTGAGAAAAAAAATTTTTAATAGCATTCTTTATTTGCTGTAGTTTGAATCTTTCTTCCCTCTCTGACTTTCTAAATTGTTGGTTTTCCTTGCAAACCTTTAAGATGGCCTGCCACGGAAATAAGGTAGGATTTAGGTTTATGGAATTTGCTTCACTGACTATATTTAAGCACTAAAAAGCTACTGTTCACTATGGTTTTAGCTGGAAAAGCCCGTATTAGAGACCTTGATGAGATGAACAGTGAAGAGGCATTCTGGTTTTTCTAGTATAACTGAGGTTCATCCTTTTCTCTTGATGTCAAGCTGTGTATCTTAATTTTTGATTTGCAGATATATCCACAATAGCTTGATGACTTCTTGAGGTCATCTTTAACCCTAGAGGTCTTGCTTTGTCTGTCTTATACTTAAAGGAAGATTTGACATCTCTTTTTTTGAAGGCCTGTATTTCTTAAGAATTTGCCTGTCAGGATTTAACCTAATTATTTTCTACTTGTTGTCTAATGAAACTCCCATACTTACTTTTTGGACCAATCCCTGAATATTATGCAAGACCAATTAGAATGAAGCTTCCTTTTTGTTGCCCCAGAACACACTGCTTTAAAAAGTTTGTAATACTCTGTACTTGTTTCATTAAGCCATTTTATTGGCACCATTAAACCACTGAAACCTGGGACCATTAAAACGTAGTACTATTATTATTATTAAGGCTTATTTTTACCCTTTATTACTTTTTTTTTCCACTGTACTAAGTTCTTCTGTTTTTATTCTTGCATGTTGCTTACTACATATTGTGCCACCACAGCAAATTTTTGTAATTTTAAGTTAATTGCTCAATTATCAGTGATAGTCATGAAGTACTTGAAACATGCACAGTGGAAGACTTAAAAATTTCAAAATAAGTTGATGTGTCATAATCTTAAATGTGAAACATGCCAATATCTGCAGGCATAAAAATACACTGCCCGAGCTAGGCATTTCAGGGAAGGCAAAAACCGACTCTTAAAATCAGGGCATTTGTCTGGCACTGAAGTGTGTCATCTTCGCTAATTTCAAACAACATGTCTAAATTTGATCTTGGTTTACTTTAAAAACTCCAAAAACTTGGTCATGGCTATAAAAAAAAAGGAAGTAAAACTATTGATTCTATTTG